GGTGGGGAGTGTGTGTGTGTGTAACCATCTCACTGGGAGAGGAGAGGGCAGGTGGGGAGTGTGTGTGTAACCATCTCACTGGGAGAGGAGAGGGCAGGTGGGCTGGTGGGCAGGTGGGGAGAGGCGCTGTTAGATGGGAGCGCTGCCCTGGCCTCTGCCTCAGGCCTCAGCCTGCGCCTCTGCAGTTCTCTCCTGTCCCTTCCTGCTCTGAGGCGCCCCCACATCCAGGTGCCCGGGGCCAGGTCCTGCTTTGCCTGGAGGAGGACAGGCGCCTCTGAGCCCAGCTTTCTCAGCCACAGGAAAGGCAACTGGAGTGACAGGGTCCTGGGCTTCTGAGAGGCTTTAGGGCGGGGCCCTGTATCAGCCACTGCCTCTATCTCACCGGGTGCAGGGGAAAGCCCTTACTGAGGAGCTGCGACCAACCCATGGGGCTTTTGAAAGAAAAAGGACACAAACCACAAATCGGATTTACTTCTGAGTCAGAACCACCTGCAGATAGAATTTCCTGTTCCCTTGGGGTATGCACTGCTTTCTCACCAGGTGCACCCTGCCTTTCCAGCGCCTGTCCTCCCAGAGGGCAGAGCACCCCACCCAGAAGGGTGCGTTCCTGTCCCAGGCCCAGCACTGCCAGTTCATAGCCTCGCTCCTGCTGCTGGGGACAGACATGACCCAGGAACAGCTCTCTGGGGAGGGACAGCAGGCTGGGCAGCGGCCAGGCCCGCCTTCGCTCCACCATGTTCAAGGGTTTGATGACGCTGTGGAGCCCCTAGAATAGGGACTGCTGTACCCCTGACTCACAAGACACCTGGGCAGCCTCACCCACCTGAAGTTCCAGCAGGGATTTAGGGGGAACCGGCTCCTCCTTCAGCAGAACTTGATCCCAGTGTGTATTGGGGAAGAGGTGATTTCCGGTGTGGATATCAGGTGCACCCCCAGTGCCCTGGCTGACAGCCATGCCAGCGCCCCAAGCAGCCAGACCATGCGGCCATCCCTTCTTGTTCACTGAGAAGTCTTATGATGAACACCAGTTCCTACATAGATGTCTCTGCCTGGGCACTAGAAATAGCAGCTCTATAGTCAGTTCTCCTCAAACTAATGCTTCGCCATGCAGCGTGCGGCCTGTCCCGGGCGGGTTGGGGATCTACCCATCCTGCGCTTTCTGCGTCTTTCCTGTGGCCTCCCGGATCACAGGGTCAGGAGAAGACAAGGTCACCCCTTGGTACGTAGGAGTTCTCCAGAAGGCCACATGGAAGCCAACTTCAGGGTGGTGAACACACAACATAATATATAGATGATGTATTAGAGAATTTAAAAAATAAAATAAAATGCAAAATAATCACCAATTGTTTAAGCATTGTGGGGGGGTGGGAGTCAGAGGGGGTGAGTCTGATGGAAATAGAGGCTTGGCTTTAAGAATGCCCTGACAGTTCCATGCACGCAGTCAGACAGAACTCCCTGGGAATACAGGCCTGGCGCTCCTGCCCGAGGGGGTATCTGCCCAGTGCAGGGAGTGGCAGCCCACACCCTTGGAACCTTGCTCTGAGCCTGTTTCCAGAGCAAGAGGAATACCATGGACCCACCTCTCGCACCAGCTGCTGTAGCACCATGTCCAGCCACACATGGAATGCCCCCACAACCTTCTTGCTGATGCCAAAGAGCCGTCCTGCGTGTGCACGCCCAGCAGTGCCATCTGGACGCTGGTTCTGCCCTGTCCTGAGGCCATCTGTCCAAATAAAGAGCGTGTCCAATCCTGCCCGTGGCATTGACAAGGCAGCCACAGCAACCCGTTCCAGGCCGCACCTGTTCCTCACGGCCTGCCTGAGGACAGCGGTGACACCAGGCAGCCTGGGAGACTCGGCTAGGCCAGGATGACAAAGCAAGGCCTAAAACTAAAGATATTTTGGAATACTAGGTACATAGAATGAAACCTCTTCATTTCTAAAATTTAAAAATCTGACCAAGGGAAGCATTATAAATTCACTTTACCTCAGTAAATGGCTATACGTATGGTTAGGTATTAAATGCGGTACAGAAAAAATTTGGCTGAGCAACAATCCTAGTGATTATTTCATATTTCCTTCATCTTTATATAACACAGCATGTAAATTTCCATCTTCAACTTTGAGAAAAAAATAAGTTGACTTTCATATTATCTGGGAATGGTAATAACAGAGAATTAAAATATTTTAAAAATTCTTCCATCAATAATTACGCAAGTTTAAGGATGATTTACTGGCCCACAGGTGTTTAAAAGTTTGTGTTTTGTGATGGAAATTGCAACTATAAAGTAAGCTTTAGTTACTACCGAGTACACCATTTTCCTGTCTGAATTGGTAAGATGAACAGTAATATTGTACCTCATGCAGGAGAAGGCCTGCCTCTGTTCTTGGGAAACCAGCAGTCCTACATAAACAATAAGGAATTGGGCCAGGAAGGAAATGAAATTCTTAAAGGAAGTGCCCTCATAATTGTAGTTCGGTGGCTTGCAGAATGGGCTCCCAGAACACCTCTGGACTCCGGGGTCTTTGCATGAAGACCTGAGCAGGGAGGATCTCAGCCCCATACCCACACATAAGGAAAGATTCACTGAAAATGAAAATACACGTCACAGGCGCATGAGTACATATCAAATGCCTCTGCAGGGTTTTTGGCCAACTGTAATTCTTTTTTAAAAATTGTATTAAAGTCTAGTTGGTACACAATATTATATTAGTTTCAGGTGTACAATATAGTGATTCCACAGTTCTATACCTTATGAAATGATCACCCTGAAAAGTCTAGTTGGATATACTACTTTTTAACACAATTATCAAATGGCTAAATTGCTTTCAAAAGCACTAAACATAAACACACACACACACACACACACACACACACACACACACTTCCCTAAGACCATACTTGAGACCAGAACATTTCTGTGTTTAAATCATTTGTGCTACCCTGGTTGGTTTGGCTTAGAGCGTCAGCCTGCAGACTGAAGGGTTTGATTCCTATCAAGGGTACATGCCCAGATTGTGGGTTCTATCCCCAGTAGGGGGTGTGTAGGAGGCAGCTGATCAATGATTCTCTCTCATCATTGATGTTTCCATCTCTCTCTCTCTCTCTCCCTCTCCCTTCCTCTCTGAAATCAATACAAATATATTTTTTAAAAATTAGTAAGTAAATAAATTGTGTTGCCCATGTGTTAGTACTAACCTATTTCTATTACACATTACCTTTATTGAGAAAATTCAAAAAGAAAATCAAGGAATGAGAAGAAAGAAACATTTACATATTTTAGCAGGGAGCTGTTATTTCTGGGAAGACCAGGGAACATGTGTACCTTAACTAGACCTTTGAGTGAAATGAGGGTAGAATGTGGTTGGGAGAGAAAAACCAGGTAGTAAAGAAGATCCCAAGTCAGAAGGAGCTGGTATTAAGGAATTATGAATTAAAGCAGGGAAACAACATGCCAGACACAAAGACCACATAGTGGGACTCCACTTATGTGAAGTGTCCAGAAAAGGTCACCTATAGAGACTGAAAGTCGATTAGTGCTCCCTGGGGGTGGGGGGAGGAGAGGAGAGGATGAGGTTTCTTTGTGGGCTAATAAAAATATCCCAGAATCAGATTCTAATGATATTTGAACTACTCTGTAAATGTATCGAAACACTGTAAAATGGAAAATTTTATAATATGTGAGTTGTATCTCTATTATATTTTAGTTTAAATGGGCAAATCTGGGCTCTTGATACAGGCCCTTGAAGACCAGTGAAGAACAGAGTTGAAATGAAATAAGTTAAACAGGCTCTTGACATCACAGTTTGTTTTTGAGCTCCCGGAGCAGAGGATCCCTATCTGACCATTCCGTTTATCCCCTCCACAGAATTAAGCACAATATTATGTAAAATGCGTGCTTAAAGAAGCTATTAGATTAAATCCTGGCCAGCCTCCTGCACTGTCTGCCATGGTGATAAGTAAAGACAAGCTCTCTCCTCCCACCCCTTCCCTTCCCATCACCGCGTTCTCGTGTAGAAACACTCTGTCCTCTGTCTAATGGGACAGCGCAGCGTGGTCACGAAAAGCTCAGTCTAGGACACACTGACATTGGTCTAATTTCCTAGAATTGTCATCTTCACAAACAACCTTGAGCTCATGTTTTCAAGTTAGGGTTCTGGCTTTTACTTCCTAATTAAATGAAAGGGGCTTACAACTCACAAGACTTGCCTATTTAGTTATGTTTTATTAGTACTATGATCATTTCGGTAGGAATTAGAAAGACTAGTTGGAAAGCTGACTAAAATACCTGTGGGTTTTACAGTGAGGAGGGTTGTTTAGATAATGCACACAGATCACACTGAGAAAACCGAATGTGGACATTGTAAGCGATGCTTTTCTCCCACGGGCAATCGGGCATGAGAGCATCATGATGCGGCTGCCCTTGTCAGAGCACACAGAGGACTTCACCTGTGTCCTAAGGCTACAAAGACAGGAAATTAATAGGGCGAACATGTTCAAAGGCTCTCAGAGCACAGATTCCCCTCAACTGTCTCTTTCATATGATGTGGACACAATGAGCCAAGACCGCCATGCTGATTAGCTGTGTTCGCACATGGGAAATGCCAAGTCCCTGGAAAAATGTCTGAGGCACAGGTAGAACTTAGATTACACATGAATATAATTGTATTCCTACTGCTGGAGGCCTGATACCTGAAACTATAAATGGCCAATATATAATACAGAGAAAACCCAGGGCTAGAAAGCACACCCATAGCACTTACGTACCTGCAGCAATATATGAGCTCCCGCCGGCCTTATAGAGAATGTGGCTGGTGAAAGGGGCTGCACAGATGATCAGGAAACTCGCGGTCACAACAGCAACTACCCCCAGGAGCATGAAGACAGCCCAGAAACCACGGTAAACTGAAGACCCCAGGAGAAAAGGAGAAAAGAAAAACACACTTAGACTGTGAACACAGATTGTGGCGGGCGAGTTTCTTGCCCCTTCTTTTTTCTAATTGCAGCCATAGCACTGCCAGGTGGGACCAGGCTGTGGGTCCTGGCTTCTCTTTAAGTGGAAACCTCACCAGGTGACTTTGGACTCAGTGAAGTCAGCCTTAGCTCAACTCATGCTCAGGGTGTGCACCACACACATGCTTAGTAGACTTTGGGAGCTCAGTTTCCTGACCAGATGTTCTGCTTTAGATGTGGGAACACCCTAAGTTCTAAAAAGTTCTCTTGAGTGAGTACCCATTGGGTCACCTATAGGTGCTTCAGACCAAGTGTACAAAAGACATGAAAGGAATCTGCTTGTATAAACACCGCCAGTTACTTCTTGCTAAGATAATTTTTATAATAAAAATAACAAGCAAAGTCAAAAAGAAAACTTTTGTAAACAGATTGAGAGATTTTAAATTAGGTATATCTAAGATTTATTACTTTCTATCAATCTTTGTTCTTAAAAAGGTTCAAAATGAGAAGTTATAGTGATCTTTTATTTAAGGACCAGCAAGGTTGAATTAATGGATACAGCTGGTAGAAAATAGATTGTGGTTTTGGTGATATGTTCATAGTAATCAAATAAAGAGGAATCCTAATGATCAATTTTGAATGGAATAATTACCAATCTGTTAAACAAATGTATCATTTCCCAAAGGCTAAAACACAAAAATAAATTCCTTTTGGTGTAAACAAGGAAAAGCTCTGTGAATCATATTAAAATTATAATTTGTATGCAAACATAAAAACATTATAATGAAGCAAAGGATGTTTTTTCTCAACAAGCCCACCTGGCAAAGAAAAACATATGTCAATCAACTGGAATCTTAGAGAAAAATGCATGGGAAGATGGGAATTTGAAGAGTCATGCAGCTAAATGGGAAAAGAAGGCTGGGGTTTTTGTGTGAATAACTCAGTCTTGAAGGCAGGAATAACAAGTGGAATTTACCTCAAAACCAATGCTGTTGACTTTTATTCACTTTATGTGCGCCTCATCATATCACATGGCAGGTTCCGTGGAAAGTGTGAAGGGTAAAAACATTAATGAGAGGAGCCCATTCTGCCCCTCCCCTGATCACACTAAAACTGGACAATCCTGGCAAAGACCTAGCTGAGGACTCCAGAAAGCAAACTGTAGCCAGTGGTATAAGGAAGGAACTCGAATCTGTAGCTGAGGTTAACTCAGCTGCAAAGACTCGCCCAAATTTTTCCTCTTTTTCTCCTTCTGAACTTGGCCTGGAGGTGAGCTAAGTTGGGAACTTTGTAAATGGTGCAAACAGGAAAAAATACCCTAGTTAAGTCATCATTCTGCTTATAAGAAGCAGAATGAAGGGCCCCTACAAGCCAAAGTATAGGGAAAATGCCCATGTCCACTGATCTCCTTGTGTTCTCTTAGTCCTGCCTCAAAATTAAATCTGCACTGCTTCCTCAGTGGAGTCATGGACATTTGTGATCCCAAATGATGATTCAATCCTCCAGATAGATGACTTTCACATCTATTGTGCAAAAAGTAGGGGGATCATGGTATGTGTTTTCTCTTTTCCCTCCTGCTTTGCACTGTGGTGTAACTACATGAAACTGTGCCACAGTAAAGGAGGCCAAAACTCTGAAAGAGCCCAGACTTTCTTGTCAAAAAAACTGGGTAAGGGAGTCCTAGAAGCCAGAAGATGTGGGGGAAATCCCACAGACATAAGAGAACTGATATGATAATCTCTAAGTCTGTGTTTGAAGCTACTCAAGTAATGAGCTCACACCTCAAGTTACCCATATGTGGAATATGCCCAAAGAAGTATAACAAAGCTTTAAGAACTCAATTACAGTTCTTGGGTGATAAAGTCACCCAATCACTAGAGCTAGCCCTGAGGGGTGCATGCCCCCTTGACCTATATAGCATAAAAATAACTGAAAATTGAGTTGACATTGAAACTAGCATCATAGAAGAAATGAGCAGACCATGCAGGTCGATTGCCTATTCAAACAACAAATCAATATTTGCCAGAGAATTTTAACAGTATGCCTAGTCTGACAATGTAATTTTCAAAAGTCCAAATACAGTCCAAAATTACATGATATACTAACAACCATGAAAATTTGACCAATCCTCAAAGGAAGAAGCAATAAGCAGGTGCCAACCCAAAGCTTCAGATGTGTGAATTAGTGGACAGACTTTAAAATAGCTATTGGAACCACTTTCTATAAGCTAAAGTGAACACTCTTGAAACGAACAAAAAGGTAGAAATTCTTAGCAGATAAATAGAGTCTATGAAAAAGAACTAAACTGAATTTTAGAACTGAAAAATAAAATATCTGTAATTAAATATCCATTATGCAAGCTCCAGGGCTGAATGGAGATGAGAGAGGAAAGAGCAGGTGAACTTGAAGAATGAGCAATATAAATTATCCAATCTGAACAACAGAAAGAAAAGAGATTGAAAACAAAAATGACTAGATAGAGTTTCAGAGAATTGTGGGACCATATCAAATGATCTCATATTTGTGTCATGGAGTCCCTAAAGCAGAGGCAAAAGATGTCATTGCAAAAAGAATGTTTAAAAAAAATCCCTAAAACTTTCCAAATTTGGTGAAAAATAAATTTACAGGTTCAAGAAACTCAACAAATTCCAAAGAGGATAAATTCAAAAACCCAGTGATTCCACTTCTAGGAATATATCCCAAGAAACCAGAAACACCAATCACTAAGAATATATGCATCCCTAGGTTCACAGCAGCACAATTTACCATAGCTAAGATTTGGTAACAGCCTAAGTGCCCATCAACAGATGAATGGATTAGAAAACTATGGTACATCTACACAATGGAATACTATGCTGCTGTAAAAAAGAAGGAATTCTTACCATTTGCAACAGCATGGATGGACCTGGAGAGCATTATGCTAAGTGAAATAAGCCAGTCAATGAAAGAAAAATGCCACATGATCTCAGTCATTTATGGATAATAAATACCATTATAAAATGATGAACAAAAATAGATACAGAGGCAGAGCAGCATTGAACAGACTGTCAAACTACAGAGGGAAGGCCGGGAAGGGTTGGGGGTGGTAAGAGATCAACTGAAGGACTTGTATACATGCATGTAAGCATAACCAGTGGACACAAGACACTGGGGGGGGTGGTAGGAGAGGCTAGGGGAAGGTCAAGGGGGAAAAAAGGAAACATATGTACTATCCTTTGTAATATTTTAAGCAATAAAACAAAATAAAATAAAAAATATTCAGCCCAGACACATCAGAAAATTACTGAAAACCATGGACAAAGAAAAAGTCTTGAAAGCAGCAAGACTGGGGGTGAGATGGGGATGCCAATATTAAATGCATGGACCAACAGTCCCAAGGACTGAAAGTGTCCCCTGAGAAAGGGTGGCAGCCAGAAGACATCTTTAAGATGCCAGAAGAAAAGACCTATCAACCTAAAAGTCTGCTTCTAGTAAATGCGCCTTTGAGTGATGAAAGAGAAAGTCATTTCTCAAGTAGGAAAATGGGATTTATCACAGTAGACCTACTCTCCAAAGATGTGTGAAAGGAATTTCTTTAGGCTCAAGGGAAATGGCACCAGAGTTTACTTGAAACTTCCAGAATGAAGTAAGCGATAACAGAAAAGGTGAGTATCTGCATAAATATTTTCCTCATCTTAATTTATTTAAAATATATTGACTTTTGAAATATAAAAATACACTGTCAGCATAACACAGGAAAGAAATATAGGTTTGGAATCAGAGTAATATAGTGTTTGCCATTTATACACGTATGTAACCTTGAACTAGCCAGGTCCGAAAGAACCATGAAGCCAGGGTCACATGCAAACAGGAGGGAGGAATTATGAATCAGGCTACAGAGAAGACAGGAAAAGCAGAGAGACTGTAAGGAAGAGAGAAACACCGGGAGAAGGAGGCTGAGACAGAGCCAGACAGAAAGGGGGATAAATGCTCCCCAGAGCTGCTGTCACCACTGATAGCACTAGCTCCTGTCCCTTCAGTTGCTCTAACGAAATAGCCTGGCTTTTCCTTCTGCATTTCCTGGAAAAGGCAGGAGCAATGGATTTGTGTTTAAGGGAAAGGGGATCTGGCTGTCTGAAGACACAGAAATAGCTTCCAAGTGAGATTCCTTATTGCGGTCACCAACAGCATGCTTTTCTTTCCTGCCTGTGCTTCAGCATTCAAAGTTGCTCAACTTCAAGACTATTTCGAAATGTCTTGGAACATCCTGTTTCTTAGCTAGTGATATCACCTAGTTTGCATATGTGGCACACTTTGATTCCAGAATTAAATGCTCAATTATAATGAAGAATCATTATGTGGAATTGAGTAGAGTCCTTTCACTGGGTGAAGTAAAACTGAGGCCTTCAGAGAATTTTCAACATGAAGAGGATTATATGATATTGGAGCCTCTCCCCTTACTAATTTTTACTTTGATGGAGATCAGTTTTCTAATATAGAAAACAATATTATTCACCTAAGTTTATAGTAAGGATTGAGGAAATATATAAAAAGTAGCATGCAGTAAGACTTCAAATATGTTTGCTGCTATTATTACATATCTGCAGTTGGCACTTAAAAAAATCTATCTACTAATCTCATGGATCTGGAATGGGAACAAACTTTCAGTACTAATATATAGAACTGTAAATTTCAGTGGGAAGGATGTTTTTGTTTGGTTAGGATGTTTTTGTGGTTTATATTTTTAAGATTCCTAGGTCTTAAATGTGTCTCAGAGAACACTTAGTCTGTTTCCTTGTTCGTTATATGAGCCATTAAAACAGAAAAGCTTTCTCTTTGAAAGTATGGACTGTGCCAAGTGAAAATATATCTAAAATCCATCTGTGCTATTAAATACAAGTCAATGCTTACCTTGAGCAATATTGAATTTCTATTAGTTCCTATTAGAACATGAAGCAAGATTTATAATGTAAATGGGTTTACATGTACTCTATATCATCAACAGTTTGGATTAATTAAAAGAAAGTCTAATTTCAATCTGTGGAAGGCAATAATTAATGGCCATTTCCAAAGAAATGAAGTTCTGTTGATTCTAGATAAAGTGGTGGTGACTTGACTTAAAGTGTTCCTTGGTCAAGTGTGTAAACACAGAGAAAAAAAGGCACCTACCAGGAAGAGCTGCTGGTGGCTAACTAGGCTCAAATTTTAAAAAAACAGAGCCCAGTAGCCATTTCTGCACAGAGGCCTCTCAGGCAAGATGCACCTCATGGAAAAGCCTGCGCTGAACTGCCTAGCTGACCAGCAGATCCTGAGCGATGGATGAATGACTGCTCTGACACACTTGCTGTGAAAGAGAGGGCTAAGGGACTGCCTGGCTAAAGGAACCAGACAGTCTCTAGTGCCTGACTCGTTAGGCTTTTATTGTAACAGCACTTTGAGATAAAGTTTATTCTTTAGATATAATCAGTAGGGTAAGTAATATTGTGGGGACACATGTGTTTCCAGTGTCTTTTAAGCAAGGACACCCAAAGATTAAACATAAGGATTCCAGTAAACACTGAGGGGTCTGCATGTGCACAGACTTGTTTGGAAAGGTCAGGAATAATTAGGGGGGCCACCTTTGGCACATCCCTTTTCTCGGAATGTCCTCCTTACAAACTTTCCAACCAAGTCTCCTGTGCTCCCCAACACTGAACTGCCTGCCTGCCCTGTGTTTCTGTCATCTGAACCAGGACTAATAAAGGTTTCCTACAATCTTATTTCAACTAATAGGATTGAGTCTTTCCCCATCCAATCAGAGTTGCACAACCCTGGCTAATCAGAGTGGTTCTATTCTGACCCAGTGCCTTTTGGACCAATCAAACTTGAGGATTTGGAGTCCTCATTTGCATGAGGGCAGACCAATCAAGGACCAAGGGCAGGGACTTTAGTCCATATAAACCGCCTTTCCTCTGGCTCTAGGAGTACACTTTCCCTTTTCACTTAAGACTAAAGAGTGTGGTTCCTTAGCTGAGCTGAAACACTAAAGATGCCTCAGCAGAGCAGAGCTGTCTAGAGCAGTCGTGGGCAAACTACGGCCCGTTTGAAATGAATAAAAATAAAAAATAAAAAAAGACCGTACCCTTTTATGTAATGATGTTTACTTTGAATTTATATTAGTTCACACAAACACTCCATCCATGCTTTTGTTCCGGCCCTCTGGTCCAGTTTAAGAACCCATTGTGGCCCTCGAGTCAAAAAGTTTGCCCACCCCTGGTCTAGAGGGAGAGAGCCTGGCCCCAGGACTGCCTCACAGCTGAGCTGTATCAAAATTGAGCTGTTCTGCACTGAATAAAGCTTCCTTCTTTACAGCACCCCAAATTGGAGATTCCTGTTGGTGTTGAATTGGCACCAATGACCATAGATTGACAAATGTAATGAGGAGGATGACTAGTAATTAGTCAAACAACAGATGCTATAGAAATGGTTCTCCCAGTGTCTTCAGTTTATTTTCCTGAGTAAATTTTTAACCTACAGTATTACTTTTACCAATTTGCTTAGTAATTTCATTCTAGTAGATCTAGAATCATCAGCTCAGAGTATGCTGAAATTTCCTAACATATATTCCATGTAAATATTTCATTTCATATTATTACAATATTTTCACTTCTAGGAAGTATTTTCTAGTTTTCACTGGAGGACTATCCTGCTGCTTTTCTTCAGTAGAAAAAGACATGAAGTCATTGAGATGGTCTAGTTTGTTAAGTAAGAGTGTACACAGAACGCAAAGCTATGTTCCTGGCGTCTCCGTTTTCTGTTTGTTTTTTCAATCCTCATCCAAAGATGTTTATTGATTTTTTTAAAGACAGAAGGAGAGTGAGAGAGAGAGTGAAAAGTGGATGGGAGAAAGAAACATTGATTGGTCCCCTCCTTACACACACTGACCAAGGATCTAACCTATAACAACCTAGGTATGTGCCCCAACTGGAATGTAACCCACAACCTTTGGGTGTGCAGGACAATGCTCAATCAACTGAGCCACCCAGCCAGGGCCTGATGTCACAGTTTTATTTATAAAAAGTACATTACAGCCCTAACCGGTTTGGCTCAGTGGATAGAGCGTCGGCCTGCGGACTCAAGGGGCCCAGGTTCGATTCCGGTCAAGGGCATGTACCTTGGGTGCGGGCACATCCCCAGTTAGGGGGTGTGCAGGAGGCAGCTGATCGGTGTTTCTCTCTCATTGATGTTTCTGGCTCTCTATCCCTCTCCCTTCCTCTCAATAAAATATATTTTTTTAAAAGTACATTACATATAGAGTATTAACTTCATTGCAAATTCAAATATCAGATTCAAATATATATCAAAGGAACTCATATCTGGGGTATATCTAAAAGGTTAAGTTCCAAAAAGCCATAAATAGGA